GAAGGAAATACAGGTGAAACACTATATGATATGCACATCAAAGACATCTTTAGAGACACATCACCCAAAGCAGTGATAGTGAAGGCAAAGATAAACAGCTGGGACTACATCAAATTAAAGAGCTTCTGCACAGCAAAAGAGACAATAACAACAACAAAGAGAAACTGCACCTACTGGGAAAACATTTTTGCACATAACACTAATGATAAAGGACTGATGACAAAAATCTACAAAGAGCTGATGAGCCTCAACAAAAGCAAAGAAAATAATCCTGTCAAAAAATGGGCAGAAGAGCTATAAAGAAACTTCTCTGAAGAGGAAATGCAAATGGCCAACAGGCATATGAAAAAATGTTCAACATCACTTGTCATCAGGGAAATGCAAATCAAAACTACCATGAGATACCATCTTACACCAGTTCGAATGGCACATATTAAAAAAAACTAGCAACAACAAATGTTGGTGAGGGTGTGGAGAAAAAGGAACTCTCCTGCACTGTTGGTGGGAGTGCAAACTGGTCCAACCACCAAGGAGAGCTGTGTGGAGATTTCTTGACCTACTAAACATAGAGCTTCCATATGATCCAGCAATTCCACTCCTAGGTATTTACCCAAAGGGCACAGAAACATCAATTCCAAAGAGCATCTACACCCCTATGTTTATAGCAGCACTGTTTACAATAGCTAAGCTTTTGAAACAACCCAAATGCCCAAAAATAGATGACTGGATCAAGAAGATGTGGTATATATACACCATGGAATATTACTCAGCATTCAAAAAAGATAAACACATGCAATTTGCAGCAACATGGATGGAGCTGGAAGGGATCATGCTCAGCGAAATAAGCCAGAAAGAAAAAGAAAAATACCGGATGGTCTCACTCATAGCAGGAATCTAGAAAACTTAAATAAGGGACCAGGAAAAAGAATAACTATATGAAAGAAAAAACCAAAATCAACAAACAACTATGAACCAGAGACACTCTATGTGGCCTGGGGGGCGGGGAAAGGAGGGTTTGGGGTCAAAATAAGGGGTTTGTAATTGTATGGGAAACATAAAAAATACAATTTAAATTAAAAAAAATACTATCTAAAAAAAAATGTGAGCCTGGGCCACACACCCGCATTTCTAATTTGGTAAGTGTGAGATGGGACCTTGGCATCTGTGAATCTATGATCTGTGCACTAGAACATACCTACTGGTACACTTTTATTTTAAAAACTAACCACCCTGAAGAAAAAATTTAATATAAATTTTATTTTATTTTTAAAAATTGATTTTATTCTAATAAAATACACATGAATGTTAACAGTAGTTGTGGGTTTTGGGATCACAGGTAATTTTAATTTCTTACTTTGCTGTAATAAATGTCAATTTTTATGCAATAAAAATTACAAGAAAAGAGTTAAAAAATACTCAGTTCATCATTCTAGCTAGTGAAGATATATAATCTGTCACCCACTGATTTCCTATCCCTATTCCCAATTTCATTCCATCTGTGAATCTGATGTGATTTTCTTGTTCTTCTACATTGCCAATGAGAATACTGATTAGAACAAAGTCCCCTGGCAGTCCACTAGAAACCTCATTCTAATTTGGTAATGATTAAAAATCTTTGGGATCAATTTTACTTATTTAAGATCTTCTAGACATGATTCTTCCCATCTATGTTTGTGCGTGGGAGGAAGAGTTCTCTAGAAAAATGCCTGGGACCCTGGGTTTGCACAAACACAGAGCTTCCTCAAGGTGGAACCCGGGCATCCTGGGCTCCCAAAGTCAGGCAGGGTCAGGATGGACAAGGATTCACTGACCACCCTGAAGATTCTCATCATCCACAAGTAAGCAAGCCAAGCTGCTCTTTAGGCTCACAGATGATACTTTGATCCAGAACTTGCAGCAACAAAAGGTGTTGCCTTTAAGGTAAAAACAATTTCAGTGGATGGAAATCAGGCTAAACTTGAAATATGGAATACTGCTGGCCAAGAGATGTTCAGAATATTAACTACCAGCTACTAGAGAGGTGCATAGGATGTTATATTAGTTAATGATGTCACAAGAGTTATACCAGATTACTGGCTAGATGAATTCAAAATATACTTGCATGAGAAATGACAGAGTAAACATGTTAGTAGGAGGAAACTCGTAAAGTTGATAGAAATGGAGGCCTTGAATTTGCACAAAAGCTTTGAAGTTTTATTTATAGAGGCAAGTGCAAAAACCTGTATGATATACAGGGTGCCTTTTGTGGAACTTATTGAAAAGATCATTCAGACTCCTGGACTGTGGATAAGTGAGAGCCAGAATAAAGAAGTCAAACTGTCACACAAGGAAGTCATGGAAAAGCCTGTCATGGTTATTTTTCTGTTATAAACACTAAGAAACTCCACCTCTTGCATATTTCATCAGTTAGTGACATCTTTCCGTACATAAGTTCTTTAACTGCTATTTTAGGGACCTTGCAGCACATTGCACAAATTTGTTTTGTATCATGACATTACATATTTGCAAGAAATCCCACTCATGGGCTTTCCTAGGTAAAACTTTACAGTAAGCATGCAGTTTGCCATCCACAGTTTTTCACGTAACAGAAAATAGGTGTACCTTTTTTGGTACATTTGATTTTATGATTTACATTTATCTAGTGATTTTTAAAAAAATAAAAACACAAAAAATAAAATAAATAAATAAAAAATAAAAACACTTCTCGGGGCTTCCCAGGTGGCACAAGGAGTTAAGCATAGTACTGTGAATCTATCCACAGCCTCTGCAGCATGAGTTCGATCCCCGGCCAGCCAGAGAGGTGACCCACCTGGCGCAGCAGACCTCTCCTGACTCGCTCACTGCTCCCCTCGGCAGTGTATTTCAGTCGGTCTGCCTATTCTGTTCCCTACTCTGTCTCTGGTGAATCCTCTCATCCCCCTGCACCTCTGGCATGTACCCCAGTTCATGTATGCATAAATAAATTTTATTTAAAAAATAAAATAAAAAAAACACTTTTCCAGTATATATTGAGACACTATCTACTTTTGATCTCCATTTCGTTTTAAATGCTCCTATCAATTACTGAATTAACTGGTACGTAGAACTCCTAGAACCACTGCAAATATACAGGTGTCATCAAACTTGGCAAATTTCCTTGCAGGAATAACAAAAAGCATGATATTCCACAGCTTTTCTAGGATGTTTGCTGACATTCTCTTTCAATAACTAAGCAAAATTCTCATTATAGAATGTAGTCCATGCCAATTTGTAATTAAATCTGCATTTGTTCTGATGACATTTCTAAAGTATCATTTGCATGTTAAAGAAGTTTTGTCTTTTGAGGTAACATTGGTTTATGCCACTGTTTGTGTTTTACAAGCATAGGATCTCCCCCTTCAGGTGGTGTTACCGCATGGTGCCTATCACCCAAACTCCAATAATTCTACTCTTTTAATTTGTTTTAATGATAGCTGAGTTGCCTAACTGGAGTTTTAATCCTGTGATATATATATTGAATTCATGACCTCTTGTGCAACATTTTTTTTAATGTGGTGTTTGGCAGAATAGCAGTAAGGTCCGCCCCTCCCCCCATTTTGGTTTCAGAAGGACATGAAAAGTGTGTTTATGTAACTCATGTTGCACTTACCACTTTTAAAAGTAATACCTTTTCCTATAAATGTTGGTGGTGTTTTTCCAGGTATGTCAATTGTAGTTTGTGAGACATTTACGAATATCTGTTATCTTGTAACTTCCATGAATGGCTAGTTGATAATAAAAAAAACTATTTGTTTGGAGGGTTGGGGAAAAAAACAGTAAATGACAGTTTGAAAAAGGCATATTGCTGCCACATGTTAATGTATGTGGGGAAAACAGTGGTGCAATAAAAATCTTGATAATTCACTGTAACAAGTAGCCAATAGTTTAGCAAAAGCAACTCGTATAGGCTAATAAATCTTTCTCACAGTATTCAATTTTCTGACCTCTTGTTATTGTACATTGCATTTTTTCCATTCATGTTATTTAATTTCCATTGATCTCTGCTAACTTCACCCCCAATAAGTAATTTTTCCTTTCAGGTTGTCACTACACCACCTCTCAGTAAGTTTCTGATACTGATTTCTGAGCTGTTTGTTCTTTGTATACAATTGCAAATGATAAACATTCTTATGGGTCAAAAAACAAATACATAATAAATAATAACTACCAAAATTCTACTCTTATCTAATTTTTACTATCCTTCATCATTTCCATAAGAGACACTTTCATGCTTTGCTGAAGTCCAGACATACCAAATCTACCACATTTCTCTGGTCTATCGATCTAAAATGATTCTGAACCTCTTCTCTGGTACTTAATAAAAGATAATAAACTATATGGCTTATTCTTTCCAATTACACTGTTTAAGACTTTGGTAGACATAGACCATGCCTGATATTTTCTTACAAAGTTCACAGCAATTTATTCAATTCCATTCATTCCACAGCAAATATTTATTGATACCCTACTATGTGCCACTACTATTCTGGGCTATCTTTCTTAGTGTAAAGTGACAATTAAATATTCACAACAGTAATTCCTCAGTATCCAACCATGCATAAAGAGCTACCTGCCTTATGTGGTGCCATACTATCTTTCTATACCAATCCCACCGAAAGCTTGAAAGACTTTGTCACTCACTCTTATCCAAATCACTAAATAAATGATTACAAGATGTTAAGAATAATTAAACTACAATAGCATCATTCCCTTTTCTAGAAATAACCTCTCCTTCCACTAGGTTTGCACAGTATCTTATTTATAACATTCTTACAGTATTAAGTATATTCTACTTTGTATTATACTTATCTGTCTGCATGTCTTAAGTTGCCCCCTAGGTCATAAGCTTGTTGAGAGGAGGAACTATGGTTCATTCATCTCTGTATGCTCAGTAGATTTTTACCAAATTTGCACCTGGAAATGCTAAATGAATAACCAATAAAAAGAACAGCAGCTCCTAGGGAAGCAACTGTCCCCCTTACCTGCACCTCCACCAACCAGTCCACAAGAATGGCCCTCATGTCACTGCTGATGTCAGTCTGCCTGGTCATGTATTTTTTAAGTATGAACTCCTCCTGTCAGAGATTAAGAAAAAAATGTTAAAGTACACCCTTATTGTAGTTAAAAAAGTGTAACTTGGGGGAAAAGTTTACAGCTGATATCTCAGGGAAAAAATGTAATTTAACATAATTAACTTTTTCATAGTTCATAGTTCTTCATAGTTCATACTATTTTCAGCTGGTATCAAACAGGGGCAGATCAAAGTCTCCTTTTCAGATAAGTTTCCGGGAAATGGATAGACATGTGATTTGAGTGTCAGGGTGGATAATGAGGAATCCAGGGGGAATATGGAATATAGGCAGGAAAATATTTAAGGCTTATATATGAATACCAAAGAGGTCCTGTCCCTTCTTTGCAATTCAATCTAAAGCACAATCCCAGGCAACACATAGTGGGGTTTTTCAAACTTTACCATGCATGTGTACCACCTAGGAATCTTTTAAATTCACATTTTAATTAGGAAGGTCTGGGGTGGGGCAATGTTTCTGCTTTCTAAAGCAATCCAAAGTGAAACTGCTATAAGTTTAGTATAACAAAATTATCTCTTACTTCCTCCAAGGCATACTAGGAAAAAAAAATGTGACCCTGCAGTTATCAATAACTATGTCTCTATAGCAAAGATGAGATATTCATCTCCCATCTTCTGCAGAGCCTGCTAAAATTCTAGTTAGAAGAGAATCTTGGTCCCATGTGTTCTATTCAGAGACACAGGAAGAAAATTTGGAGAGAGTATTAGTGGTAAATAAGACTGGAAGATTTCAAAGAAAGAAAATTTCAACAGGTTAGAGCTAAAACAAAGGTTTGATTTTACATAACAGAAACATGCAAAGAGAACGGAAAAGATCTCTAAGAGCAGTCACTGAGAAAGACTACTTGACCATTTCTGTGTCTAAGACTGTCTCCTCAGCAATTAGAAGTTCAGGTTAATGGTTTTCAAGTTAATCAGACATGAATACATATCCCAACTCTACCACACACAAGCTCTTTGACTCTGGACAATTTCCCCAGTCCAATAAAGAGAGACAACAGTATCTACCACCATGAAGTTATTTGGCGAATTAAGCAAGATAATGTCTAAAAGGCCTTAGCACAATGTCTAAGTCATCATAACCTATCAGTAGATGTCAGTGGTTATGCTATTATTGCTATTTTCATCATCTTATTACCTCCCCTTTCAATTTGCTTTTGAAGGATAGAGTGAGAAATAAGAATTGGACATCAGTCCCCCAGCCCCCAATCACCAACACACTACACACCTCTCTCTCCTTCATGTAACTGAAGATATCTTTGGCATATACTGAGCTGAAAAGTGGATTATTGCGGTCCTCCACGTCAATATCCACCAGTTGAGTCATCTGCTTGGAAATCAACAAAAAGACATATCAGATGACTCATTTCTTCCCATGTTCCTCTTCTGTTAAGATTCCTCAAAGCCTGGGCATTCATAAAGCAGGATATGGCATGATATCCTGGGCCATTATGGAGCACTCCTTGGCCCTATAATCCTCATACTGCCAAGTGACCAAGAAATGCTTAGTCCTCCTTCATAGCTGCCTGTTCTGCCCTAGGAACCAGGCACCATTTTTACAGGTAGGTTGAAGACTCCAAGAAAGACACTCTTATACTATTTCAGCTTGTATTATCACTATTTCACCTGTCTTCTATGATGCCTTGTTATTTCCCAATGCTTTGATTTGGTTCTTGGTAGCCTTTTCCTCCCTTCTATTCCTTTACCCACGTTGTTTTGCCTACAAGAGGATTTCTCCTTCTGTTTTCCAATCATATCCCTACATTCTTCCAATTTACAATTTAAAGAGCAAATTCTTTAGAGCATGCCTCTGTGAATTTTACCCACCTTTGACCAAAGTCCCCTGTAATGCAGATACAAATACTAAGGCAATTTCCCCAGAGAAATTATCTAATCAGTATCACAAAGTCCAAATACATATACCCAGCATTCCAGACCCTTGTGAGTATTCTTGAAATACTTTCTAATTGATTGGTTTTATCATTATTCCAACCAGAAATTAGTCAAGAGAGTCTATAAAGACAACTTGATTTATTACAGTTCCTCATATAAGGCCCAACAAAAGCTTTGTGCTAACAACTACCCCCAATATAACAAAGAACACTTCATCTACTTTAAGAGGAAAGAGCAGAATACCTCTTCCCGTGATTTCTCGCCCTGAGATGAGAAAGGTTTATTGGAACTGGATTCACAAGCACTGGTCTTGCTGGCAGTGCTGAACTTGCCTACACTGGATATGATGGCAGCACTGTATTTGCTTGTTCCTGGTTGAAGGGTAGTGCTAGGGACATGTAGGCCAGTCTCAAGTTGGTGGCTCAATAAACCTTTCAGAAAGGTATCTGGCACCTTGAAAAGGGCTTTCTTTTCACTGCTGGGCTTCTCCTGCAAGGCCAATGACTCCTTCAGTTTAACCTCCTCTTCAATTGTGAGTTTCTCCTGCAAAGTCCAGGGCTCTCTGAAGGTCTCCTTCTCACTGCTGACCTCCTTCTGCCTACCCAAGGGTTCCTTCAGATCAGTCTTCTGTTTGATGCTAGGCTTCACCTTCAAGGCCAAGGACTCCTTGAAGAGGGCACCCTTCTCAGGGCCTGGCTTCTCCTGTAAGGTCAGGGGGTGCTTAATATGGGACTCCTCTTCATTGGCGATGATCTCTTGTAAGGCCTCTCTTTTCTCCTCCTCCGGAGAAGTAGGCTTCTTTTCAAAAGATAATTGCCTCTCTCTGTTTTCTGCCTCCTCAGCAGAAAGCTCCTCCTTCAGAACCAGTAGTTTCTTACAAAGGGATTCCTCTTCAGTGGTGCTTTTCTCCTGCAAAGCCAATAGCTTCTCCACAGAGACCTCTTCAGTATCAATCTTCTGCAAGCCCAAACCCATCCAGAAAAGGGACTTGTCTTCATTAGCAGGTTTTACTGGCAATGAAAATGACTCCTGAAAATGGATATCCTCCTTGGTGGTAGGCTTCTCCTCCAAGGTCAACGGTTCCTTAATAAATGATTCTTCTTTAGTGGTGGTCTCCTCCTGCAAGATCAAAGGCTTTTTTAAGAGGGATACCTCCTGCAGAGTGGTGTGCTCCTCCTTCAACACAGACAGATCCTGAAGGACAAACTCCTCTTCAGTTGTAGGCTTTTTCTTAAAGTGCAACAGCTTGTCACAAAGTGACTTCTCTTCAGAGGCAGTCTTCTCTAAGTAGAAAATCTTCCCCTGAGTGATTTCCTTCTTTAAAGATAATGCCTTGGTAAGGGCTGCCTCCTCAGTTGAAGACTTCTTCCTAAATGATGCTGGCTCCACAAAGTGGGAATCCTTATCTTTGCCAAATCTATCTGACAGTTCCTGGCAAACAGACATCATCACTTGAGTGGCACACTTTTTCTTTAAAGATAACTGTTCCTTGGTGGAGACTGACTCACTTGTGGTACGTTTCTCTTCAAAGGAAACAGGAACCACAGGAGATTCATCTTCAGTGTCAATACTCATCCCCTGCAATGCCCCTGGCTTCTTTAAGAGGGGCACCTCCCCCTGGTTGGTGTGCATCTCTTGCACCATCAGTGGTTCTTGGGAAAGAGACTTCTCAGTGGTAGGCTTTCTCTCAAAGGACAATGGTTCCTTAATGAGTGACTTGTCTTTAGAGGTGGCCTTCTGCAATACTAGTGGCTTCTTCACATAGATCATCTTCCCCTGAGTGACACACTTCTTTAAAGATAAAAACGTCTTGATGGGGCTTATTTTCTTCATTTTAGGTTTCTTTAAAGATAAAAGTGTCTTGGTGGGGCTTGTTTTCTCCATTTTAGGTTTCTTCCTAAAGGTCACTGGCTCCATAAAGACAGGATCCTCTTGAACACTGATGTCCTGCAAGGCCAACTCCTCACCCTGGCAGGACTGCTTCCCCTGATATGTGCACATCTTATTTAAGGGTAATGTGCTCTTGGTCATGGCTGCTTCCTCAGTTTTATGCTTCTTCCCAAAGGTCACTGAATCTAAAACAGATGTACCAACATGGTCAGTCTCTTTCAGCAAGGATAGTGGCTTCTCTGAGAGGGGGACCTCCCCCGGATTTACACACTTCTTTAAGGGTAACAACCTCTTGATGAGAGCTGTCTCCTCAGCAGTGAATTCCTCTTTTGAAACTAATGGCTTTTTGGAAAAAGATAACTCCTCAGTCATGGGAGTTTCAGAGATGGCAGATATTGCTGGAGTGAGTGGCTTCTCTTTGTTTGGTACCATTGATTCTGGTGAGGGTTCCAGCTTACACCTGTTAAAAAAAAAAATGCCTGAATACGTATAATGTAATTCCTAGAGTCCTTAATTGCCATTTTAATTTGTTGCTACAAAAGACAGGGAAAGGGCTTCAACTCCAGGAAAGAGGTTAGATGATAAAAGTCAATGAATAGTGAACCAAATAAGTAGTTCACTATATAGTTCCTATGACTTAGGTCCCCACACTTTCCTGAAAATTTCCCCCTTGAAACCCATGTTATGCTTTCTCATATGTACATATATCAGTCTCCCTCACTAGCTGCATTTATTCATCTTTGCCTATTAGCCCTAAGCATGTGGTAAAATGTAGGTTGAATTTAATGTTGTTTAAAAGCTTATAAGAGCAACTTATCAGCAGATTATGAAAGTTTATAAGAGAAAGGTGGACTGGCACTTAATATTGATGGTGTCTAACCACATTCCCTTCACCCTAGGCTATTCATGACATGATTTCCCAGTGAAGGTAATAAAGCTATCAAAATAGAAATGTGTTCATATGTATCCAATCCATCAAATATGATCACAAATAAGAGAGGGGAATGAAATCAAATACAATCATAGGTCTAAACTAAAATTAAATGCCTCCAAAGAGCTAGATATCATTATTGTGCTAATATAAAGAGTGCTGAATAAACATAACCACAAAGGTATATCCAAAACAGAAAGCAGGTTGGTAGTTGGCTGGGGCTGGGAAGGAGAAGGGATTGCCAATGGGTACAATTTTCTTTGGGGGATGTTAAAAAAGTTCTAATGGCTATACAACTGTATGGCTATAATTTTTAAAACCTGAACTGTAAAAAAAATAAAATAAAAAGAGCGAATGCCTCAAAAGATTCTACCTTAAAAAGAAAAATACCGGATGGTCTCACTCATAGCAGGAATCTAGAATACTTAAATAAGGGACCAGGAAAATGAATATAAGAAAGTGAAAATCAAAATCAACAAAAAACTATGAATCAGAGACACTTTTTTGGGGGTGGGGCGGGAGGGGAGAGATTGGGGTCAGAATGGGGGGGTTGCAATCGTATGGGGAATATAAAAATAAAATTTATTATTTAAAAAAAAAAGATTCTACCTTACCAGAACAGTTGCAGGTCCCTCCTGATTACAACTTAGAGAGGTGGTTTTCAGACAGTTTAGTTATGATAAAAAATATGCATTCTGAAGCTAGACTACCTAGATTCAAATCCTGGCTACTACACTTACTGGCTGAGTGACCTTGGGCATGTTAACTCTCTGTGCTTAAGCTTTTTTATCTATAAAATAGGTAAATATTTTATACAATAGACTCTTTGTATTATAAAATATATATATATTTTATACAATGGACTTTGTGCAAAGATTCTTTATGAAACACTTAAAAGAAATAGTTGTTTGAAACAATTACATGCCAATAAATCAGATCATTTAACTGAAATAGACAATTTCCAATAAAGACACAAACTACCACAACTTACTCAAAAAGAAAACAGAAAATCTGAGTAAACTATAACAAGCAAAGGCAATGAATTAATAATCCAAAACTACCTACAAAGAAAAGTTCAGACCCAATGGCTTCATTGCTGAATTCTACCAAAACATTTAAAGAAGAATTAATAATAGTTTTTCATGAACTCTCTCAAGAAATAGAAAAGGTAAGAATAGTTCCCTACTCATTCTGAGGCCAACATTATCTCTTACCAAAAACAAAAACCTAACAAGAAAAGTTCAGTCTGAAAACTCTTATGAATACAGATGCAAAAATCTTCCACAAAATACTGGTGAACCAAATCCGGCAACGTATAAAAGGGCTATACAACATGACCAAGTGGGACTTATCCCAGAAGTGCAAGGATAGTTAACATTCAAAAACCAAACCATGTACCACAGCATATTAATGGAATAAAACTCAAAAGCCACATGATCATCTCAGTAGATCCAGAAAAAGCATCTGACAAAGTAGAATATCATGACAAAAAGCACTCAACAAACTAGGAATAGATTCCTCAACTTGATAAAGGGCATATACCAAAAAAAACTAAAGCTGACACTATAATTAATGGTAAAAGACTGATGACGTCTCTCTAAGATCAGGGAGAAGACAAAGATGTGTAACTCTTTTTTTAAAAAAATGTTTATTTATTCATGCATACAAGAACCGGGTACAGGCCAGAATTGCGGGAAGGTGAGAGGATTCACCAGAGAGAGAGCAGGGAACAGAACAGGTAGATTGACCCAAATACACTGCTGAGGGGAGCAGCAGACAAGACAGGAGAGGTCTGCCACACCATGTGGGCATCTTCCCAGCTGGCTGGGATTGAACCTACACTGCAGAGGCTGCGGACAGCTTCACAGTGCTGCACTCAACCGCCTGCACCACCGGGGAGGTCCAAGATGTGTAACTCTTAACTCTTCTATTCAACAAAGTACTGGAGGTTCTACCCAGGGCAATTAGGCAACAAAATAAAATAAAAGGCATTCAGATTGGGAGGAAAGAAGTAAAACTATCTGTATTAGCAGGTAACAAGATCCAAAACATAGAAAATACTAAGCAATCCACATGACAACTACTAGAACTATATACAAAGTTCAGCAAGGTCCTATGAATAAGATCAATATACAAAAATCAAATGTATTTCTATATCCTCACAATAAACAATATGAAAATGAAATTAAGAAAACAATTTTTTACAACAGTATCAAGAAATAGTTGTTTGAAACAATTACATGAACAAGTATCAAGAAGGACAGTATCAAGAAGGACAAAAGAACAAGTATCAAGAACAACAGTATCAAGAAGGACAAAACATTTTGAAATTAAAGGTCTAAATAAATGGAAAGATGTCACATGTTCATGGATTGTTAAAATGACAAAACTCCCCAAATTGACTTACAAAATAAGCATATTTACAGTGAATTGATTTTTGACAAGGATGCCAAGACAATTAATTGAATGGAGAAAAATTAGTCTTTTCAACAGTGTCAGAACAACTGTATCCACGTGCAAAATAGAGAAGTTAGACTCCTAATACCTACCACCAACAAAAATTAACTCAAAATGATCAAAAGCCTAACTTAAGAGCTCAAAATTTTAAACTCAAAAGTAATTTTTTGTAACCTTGTATTTAGCAATGATTTCTTAGCTATGATACTAAAAGTGCAAATTTATTCCCAAAATTATATAGTTCTGCAAACAAATGGCAATTCAACAAAATTTGATTAAAAAAGAAAATTAAATTGGACTTCATCAAAACTAAAACTTCTATGTCTCAAAGGACACCACCAAGAAAGTGAAAAGCCACAGAATGGATAAAAATATATGCAAATTGTGACAACTGGATGCAACTGGAGGCAATTATGCTAAGCGAAGTAAGTCAGAAAGAAAAAGATGGGCTTCCCCAGTGGCGCAGCGGTTGAGCGCTGGGTTGTGAAGCTGCCCGCAGCCTCTGCAGCGCTGGTTTGATCCCCGGCCACCAGGTGAGGGTCTGGTGTACTTCGACAGTGCACCTGCTCTGCTTTACGTTCTGACTCTGGTGAATTCTCTCACCCTCCCGCGCTTCTGACTGTACCCAGTGCTTGTCTAAATAAATTAATTTAAAAAAAAAAGAAAGAGAAAGATAAATACTGGGTGGCTTCCTTACATGTGGAATATAGACAAACAAAACAAAGGGTCAGTGGAGCCAAACCAAATTAACAAACCCTAGAAATCTGACTGCAGAACTGAGGCTACCAGAAGAGAAGAGGGAGTACAAAGAACAAAGTTGGGAGGGAGCACGATGGACTAAGGTGGAGGACCATGGGGGCTTTGGTGGTGGGTGTGATGTAGTAATAATACCTGAAGGGGGAAATCCTATACCTCTAAATCACAATGTTGTAATTCAATGTTACCTCAATCAAAAATTTATTTTAATTTTCTCAGTTTTTGTCACCAGATTTTATGGCTCAAATTTCCTCTTGAACTACATTTTAGTACAAATTTTGCTGTTATCTAGAGTAAATGTCCAGATACTTTTATCCAGAAGGGGGGAATAATGAGTGTACTATTGGATCACTGACATTGGAAACTCTTTCTTTTGCCTCGGCACTGGAATGACATGACTTGGCTATACTCCAAACTTGTCAAACTGTCAACACTGCTCTACTCTCCTCTGGTGATTAATAAAACAGAAAAGATGTTGATGTGAACTTTTATTTTTCATTTGTATGTAAACATTTTTTCTCTGCCTGAATGCTTGAAGAATTAAAAATTTTCTTAGAATTAGAAATCAACTGGGGCCTCTCTGGTGGTGCAAGGGGTTAAGACACAGCACTATGAAGCTGTCTGCAGCCACTGCAGCACAAGTTCGATCCCCAGCCAGGGAGCTGACCCACATGGCACAGCAGACCTCTCCTGTCTCGCCCATTGTTCCCCTCAGCAGTGTGTTTCAGTCAGTCTGTCTGTTCTGTTCCCCACTCTGTCTCTGGTGAATCCTCTCAACCACCATACCTCTGGCCTGTACCCCAGTTCTTGTATGCATAAATAAATAAATCTTTAACAAAACCAACTAAAATACATCTATACATAGTTCTCTTTACAATCATTTTCATTATCTTTCTGGGCTCATTTAATCAGAAGAGTTAAATCTTCAGCTCAGGAAAATATTCCTTGTTATTTGACAAATTATAGTTTTGTCTTTCTTCTACTTGCTCTCTTGCTTTTGGAATTTTCCTAGATCTACAACAAAAAGTTTTTTGTAATTTTCTAATATGCTGTTAAATAAATAAGCTAATCTAAATTAGAGATTGGCAAACTATGAAACATGACCTGTTTTTGTATGACCTATAAACTAAAAATGGCTTTCACATTTTTAAAGGGTGGCTACTAAGAAATAATAACAATAACAAGAAGCAGAACAGAAATAGCAGCAACTATATATGGAATCCACAACCTAAAATATTTATTTTCTTA